GGGGTTTAGGGGTTTAGGGGTGTCGGATGTGTTTAATAAGGGAGTTTTAGAAGGTTGTGTAGGGTGTCGTAAGGCTTTGTCATTGCTTTATAAGGCTTTATAGGGGTTTGATACAGGCGACGACGGTCTCAGCACCCCACTCCATGACAGCGCCCTGATTCTTCACGAAGAACAGGCGCTGCTGCAGATCGTGACCTCCACCAGGTGACTTTGACGCTTCAGGGTTTACGGTTTAGGGCTGAGGGCTGAGGGTTTAGGCTCCCTTCTCAGGACCTCTGCTAGAGTTTAATGAACATGGTTTGGTGGTCTCTGATATCACTGGAATTCGGACCTTGCAAATTAATGTTGAAAAAAATCGCAAAACCCGACCCCGGATGTCATCCCACAAGACCAAGAGGGAGACCGATAAGGAACCTCTTGAAAGGAGGCCGCAAAAGAACCCTTAAGGGACCCCCCCCCATTCAAACAACCCTTTAACTTAAAGGAACCCCCTTAAAGGAGGCCTCAAAGGCCCCCTCAAAGGAACCCTTGAAGGAACCCTAAAACCCTACACCCAATGCCCTAAACCCTAAATCCCTCAACCCTAAACCCCTGAACCCTAAATAAACCCTAAAACCCTAAACCGAATGCCCTAAACCCTAAAATCCCTCAACCCTAACCCCCTGAACCCTAAATAAACCCGACAACCCTAAACCCAATGCCCTAAAACCTAAAATCCCTCAACCCTAAACCCCTGAACCCTAAATCAACCCGACAACCTTAAACCGAATGCCCTAGACCCCAAACCCCTCAAAGGAGGCGTTAAAGGAGCCCGCAGGTTTACCCGAGGTTCCAGCTCAGTCTTTCCAACACGGGCTCTGCTGACCCCATCCACCTCGCGGGCAGGTTCGGTGTTAGGATTTAGGGTTTAGGGCTTGAGGTTTTAGGATTTCGGGTTTGGGGTTTAAGGATTTAGGGTTTAGGGTGTAGCATTCTTTATAGGGCGGTGGGAACGGAGACTGCTTGGAACTTGCATCGCTTGTAGAGGCTTGTACACGGGAACTGGTGTTGCACAAGGTTGGGGACTTTGAGTTTAGGATGTACAAAATCGGGTTGAGTGTTTTAAGGCGCTTGAAGAAAAGATTGTATTTTTAAGCCGTTAGGCTTTAGGGGTGTGGACCCAAACACTGAAAGCGCACGCAAACCTGAACAAAATCACAGGACATCGTCTCAAGCACAAAACCCTAATGTATCATCCTATACTATACTGAACGATTACTAGACGTGGCTAGCCTAGGCTATGCAAAAAAATACTGTACTGTGCTACACCACAGCACGCTATTTTATACCCTACTACACTATACTATTGCAACTATACTATACGGTACTGCACTTTACTAAATTACGTTATAGTACATTAGTTCTGGATTTCTGCTATATGATGTGGCTAGATTATGAGATACCATGGTTATGCTGTGGGATATTGCTTTGTGCTGTACTGTACTGGACTGTACTGTAAAATGACATGTTAATGCTGCGTGATGTCATGCTGTACTATGTTCTACTATGTTCTATAAGATTATGTAACATGTTGTATTATAGTATGAGTTCTCATAGCAAAAGTTATAGTCTAGTCTAGTCTAACAGAGTATAGAATACTATAAAAACAATGTTCTTGTATATTATGCTATGTTTATATATGCTATGCTGTGTGTTGTGATGTTGTATGATGAGATATATGTGTTGCTATGTTTTGTGATACTGTATTTAATGAGAACATACTTTGGTGCATGATACTGGTGTTATACTACATGTTGATATATTACTTTGTGTGATGCTATATTATGTTATGTTATGACCTGACAGTTTTTGTCATATTATGTGGTACTATATTGTAAAAGTATTATTATGCTATAGTGCACTATATGATTGTATTTTCAATTTTCTTATTTCTACTATATTATACCATATTATGCTATACAATATCATCACACAATGCGTTATGCTATATTTGGTTAGACTAGACTAGACTCTGCTAGGATAAACAAAAAGTTCACTTAGAGTATAGTATAGTCTAGTATAGTATAGTATAGTGTAGCCTAGTATGGTATAGTATAGTACAGTATAGTATAGTATAGTATAGTATAGTATAGTATAGTGTAGTATAGTCTAGTAAATATAGTATAGCATAGTATAGTGTATTGTGTAGTATAACATAGTAGAATAGTGTCCAGTACGGTATATATATATATATAAGTTCGGAATTCAGGACGGGACTTGAAGTGTCGGGTGAACTGTCGGGTGTCGACCTCATCGCTGACCCATTTAGGGTTTAAGGTTTAGGGTTTTGGCTTCAGAGACCCTGCAAAATCCCAAAAAAGGCCCTTGTCAAACTCTCTAGAATTGAGCAAACACCCCCAAACACTAAAAGAATCTTGCTAAAAAAAAGATGAGCTCAGCGCCGAACTTTAACAGCGTAAATCTGAAACTAAAGCCTTAAACTCAAAGGCAAACAAACTGAGAAGTTAAGGTCTACCTTAAGAACCCAAATTAAGAACCCAAAACCTACTTTTTGTAGGGTCCCTATAAGTCCCATATTAGGGTTTATAATAAGAACCTACAAAAAAGGTTGGTTTTGGGTTCTTAAGGTAGAGGGTATGCAGGACTTTGCCCGTCATCACCCGACCTGAAACCCGTCTAGAAGCCCTACCGGACCATTCTGATATGGGACCCGTATTATAAAACGCTGATTCAAGCCCGTGTAGAACCCATCAAGTCATCAAGAAACCAGATAAGAACAGTACGTGGATGCTACATCCCCTTAAGCAACATAAACACTAACGTTCCAACCACTCTTGTTAAACCCTGGAAGAACCTCTACGGGAGATCTTAACTGATGGACGAGCCACCGGAGACGTGTCCGCAAGCTCTGCAGACACAGCGCCACTGCCATGAGGAAGGCCTACGAGAGAAGTCACGGAGGGTTCCGCAACGTTGTCCTAACGGCTTCTTCTGTCTGGTGCTTTGTAGGGAATTGGGGAATGGGTTATAGGGACTACTATAAGGGACCTTAAGGTACTAGCATAGGGATCCGTTCCTCCATTCCCTACTAAGCACCAGACAGTCTTGCAAGGCTCACATACTGCTTTCATGAGGGGTATCGGGTCTACTTCGGGTTCATGGGACTTCCTGAGTAGGGTTGTAAGTAGCTTAGTTGGAACAAAGTGGAATCGTGGGGTACTATGAAGATCTACAAAGCAAGCCAAAGGAATAAGAATTGTAAAAATTTAGTCTTCTATGTTAAACCTGAAACCCTAAACGGAACTGTCTTCCCTCGGCTCCTCCTTCTGGCTCGGCTGGCGTGCGAAGGTGAAGAAACGCCTGGTCACATGTCGGGTCTTCCGGAGTTCAACCCGAAACCCTAAACCCTTTAAACCTTAAACCCCAGGGTTTAGTGTTTCAGGCTTAGGAACGTCGGGTCTTTGCAGTGTTTTTGTCGTGCTCGTGGGGTTTTGGTGTAGGCGCATAAGGTTTTGGGGTGCACGGCAGGGGGCTAGTATTCGTGGAGCCTGGGTTTAGTTTCCAGTAAAGCCATAATGACAATGATAATATCCATGCACCACTTCTTCAAGAGCCTTACAGACACTCACCAAAACCCTAAAAGGACTCCTTCATGTAATGTGGGGACCTTAATAATTAGAATAGGGTTTTGGGGCTCATTATGTTATAATTATAATAAGGAACCCCCAAAATAGTATTGGTATTATTTTAAGCCCCTATACTGTGACCGTCTGGTGCTTAGTATAGGGAATGGGGGAACGGATCCCTATTAAAGTCCCCTAAGGTCCCATATAGTAGTCCCTATAACCCATTAAGGGACCAAAAAGGTTTAGGGTTTACGGGCCCCCATTCCCTACGAAGCACCAGACACATGAGTGAGGGCCTTAGGTTAAGGGCTTAGGGTGCACCTGGGGTTGAAGGGTCTAGGGGCTAGAGTTCTGGCTTAGGAGCTTGGGCTTCGGTGCGGGGTTTAGGGTTTTCGGGTTAGGGTTAGGGGTTAGGGTGTGGGGGGGCTCTATACTTTCCCGAACTCCAAAAAGCCCTAGTGGATCATGCAAGCAAACTCTAAGTAGTGACGTAGGTGTCTTAAGGTCCGTGTTGAACCTGTACAAGCTTGGCTGCCATGCAGGGATAGGTTGCAGGGCCCCGCTCCCTTGAATCCTAAGGCTTAGAGTGTAGGGTTTGGTGTTCAGGGTTTGGGCCACTTGCTGCTAGATCAGCTCCGCCGATACTGGCTGCGCATGTTCTGCCATCATGATTCGGATTACTATTATGCTTGTCTGCAACACCCGCGGCCTGAAACCCTCAAAATAGAAGCACAGTGGCCCTGGACCTCAAACCCACCAAGGCTTCAGGGTTTGGGGTTTGGGGTTTAAAAGTTTAAAGTTTAAGGTTTAGGGTTTAGGGTTCAGGGTTGAGTCCTAAATCCAAACCCTGAACCTGACACAACAGCTTCGGCAAGGCTGCAGCAATGGGTGTTCAGCCCGCGCAAGAGCGTCTGCAAGCGCCAGTGGCGTGAACGGAAAGCCTGATGTTTCAGGGCCATTTCTGGGTTGTAGCAGGCAGGTTGACGGGTACAAAAAAACTGTTGCGTAGACTCGTGATTCTTTGAGAGCTGCAAACCCTAAAACCCAAACCCGGATCCTTGTGGGGTTTTAAAGGGATCCACTGGGATTATGGGGTTTTAATGTCGGGGCCTTGATTGTCAAACTAGGGTTGGGGGTAGAGCAAAGCAGACCTATGTAGGGCGGATAGGGGACATGATTACAATTACGAAAGCCCCTAAACCTTCCTAAAACCTGACAGAACCAAGACTACCGACGACAGCAGCACTTATGAGAATGCCATGCGATGCTTAGGGCTCAGGTAAAGGTTTTAACTTGTTTTCGGATTGAAGACTGCTAGGATTTAGGGTTTAAGGTCTCGGGTTCAGGGTTGAGGAGTCCATGTGCCGACATAGTATAATTACCCTAAAACCCCAAAACCCTAAATACTTTGCCTGAAGTTACGAAAAAAGCATAAGTTCAAGCTGGCCGGAGCGCACGTGGTGCGTTCGAAACTTTCGACGTCAATCCGGGTTTAAGCCTCAAAACATGGAGGGTATTCAATATGCACCTGGGCTACATCGAGATTTAAGCCAATTCATGTCCGACCCTCGAACCCATGAACCCACATGCCCTACACCCAAAACCCTAAACCCTAAACCCGAACCCAAAACCCCTGAACCCTTAAACTTGAAGCTCCAACTCAGAAGCAGTGCCCCAACAAGCAGCGGAGGCTGCGACCCCGCGTCGTGCAAACAAGCAGCGGGGTGCTAGAGCAAGCCAAGTGTTGAGCTCCTCCGGGCTTAGTGCGTTTAGGGTTTTGGGTCAGGGTTTGGCATAGGAATCTATGGGCTTGTGGTGACGAGGCAGAGAGGGTGGCGGAGGAGGAGGCGGAGAGAAGGACACAGGGTCGTGGTAATCGTCGTCGTCGTCGTGCAGTCCTCCTCCTCCTCCTCCTCTTCCTCCTCCTCCTCCTCGTCCTCCTCCTCCTCTTCGTCTACTGTAGGGGCCTTGACACTTTGAATGGGTCTTTGGGGTGTATCATAATATGATTGCATTCGGGAGCTATTCGGGCCCCTATACTCGGTTCGTGTTAAAGTACTTATTTTCAATTCCCATGAAAAAGAAACCCTGTGATCTATTATAAATCCCTACTATGGTGACTTCAAATAAGTCCTCTAACAGAAACCCAGTACAATAGGCTGGGGACGCTAGCCCGAAGCCTCGAAGCCCTTATCCTGAACCGCGAAACCCAAAACTACGATTTTGGCTTTAGGGTTCTATGGTTTCGGGTTGAGTGCTCAAAGGTCTAAGGTTTAGGGTTTGAGGATGCTAGGGGTGTTTAAGCTCAAGCCTTAAGACCGCTCCGTTTTAAGGCTTTGTTCCTCGATCTAAGCCCATCAGAAGTCTGTGGAGGGTCTAATTTATGGCTGTCGCTGCTCCTTGGTGCAACTCGCCATCAGCGCCTCGATCCGCTCTATGAGCCTTTCAGAAGGTTGGCGCCACATGAGAAACCCCAAAGCGGGTAAGACGGCCTTGACCCCTAAACGAACCATAAACCCCAAACCCGAAACCCTAAACCCTAAACTCCAAGCCCTAAACACTAACTCCTAAACCCAGACCCCAGGGAAACCGAGCTTAGGATTATGACGACGACAATGCTTTAGGATGTGATGACGATGAGAGTTTAGGGTTTAGGGTATCGGTATGGGATATGGGCAGCTCTCCAAATTAGGGCCCCGTTTTATGTCCCAAAAATAGTACGACACCCTTGCAAAAAGGATCCTAAAAGGGGGCCAGGATTTAGAGAACTACCAATATGATGACGACCAGGGTTTAGGGTGTGGTGTTTAGGGTATTATAAGCTTCCGCTGATGTTGATGATATGATGCTGCTGATTGCGTGTAGGCCCATATGTACAAATACGTGTTGCTAGTCCAACTTTGCATGTTGATGCTACAAGTAAGTGGTTCAACAATCATTTCCCCTACACCCCCCATCCTGTGTCAAGCGATGGAAAGCTTGCGCCGTTGTCTTCCTTCGGCTGATCTGCTGCCGTGTTGGCATGTCCGAATCTGCTGCATCGGGGTTGTCTTGCGACCACGCCACCAGCGAAGCCGCGGGCTTAGAAGCAAGCCCTGCAACTTCGTGGATCGTCTCCCGGAGGTTTCTACCCAAGGCATGTTCGTTTTTGCTTTCGCGGCGAACAGCTTGATCAAGAAGTGTGTACTTGATGGCCATCTCGCATGGAGTTTGCTGGCCGCATTTACAGTACGCGTAGGAGTGTGTGTGTTTTGTGCACCTCCTTTTTTTCATTCAGGCCCCAGTCTGCCGCGATGACTTGTGCCATACCGCGGCATTCGCGTGCTAAGGTGGTAACCTCCCAATCATTGCCATGAATATCTCGTCTGGTAACGTCCTCTGCCGTGCGGCAGGGTGCTACCCGCCAAGCATGTAAAGAAATGCTGAGGTGCCAGCAACAGATGCATACGGTTCTGCAGTCGAGGGCAGACAGTGATCGCTTCCCCCTTTTATTAAACACCCCCTAATACTAAAAAACATCGGGCCCAATCCTCCCGAAATCACCCATGCAATTTAAAACTTATTCTGAATTAGGGGGAGGGTTTGGAGGTTCCAAATACCTTTAGAGCACAGTAAGAGCGAGAGCAGGTGCAAGAGCAAAAGCGGGAGCATCAGCAAGAGCAGCAGCAAGAGCAAAGCAAAAGCAAGAGCGGAGTAAGAGCTAAGAGCAGGGGCAAAAGCCAGAGCAATATCAAGAGCAGGAGCAGGGGCAAGAGATGCAGCAGAAGCACGCGAGAGCCAGAGCAGGAGCAAGAGCACGTCTCCTCAAAAGTGGCATATTGGGGGCCCTCCCCCCGCTTTCCAGAATTATTCCTGCCAATCTATCCTTTTGGTGTCAATGCAGCTCAAGCCGCAAAAACTGCCTGCAAGTTTGCAAAGACGTCTTGCTGGTGGCCCTGATGCTCTTCCTTCCGCAAGCTTGTCAACCCGTAGATCTTCTGAAGGAGGAGGCAATCCCGATCTTCCCAAGTTGGGACGGTGCTATGGCGAAAATGCCGGTAATGAAGCGCAAGTACCCAAGCCAGTACAACAGGTCCCACCAAGTTCGAGACAGACCTGTGGCGGCATCATCGAAGAAAGAAGCATAGTTTGCCCAAAGCCGTTCACCGGCAACTGCACCCGAGTGGATTGGCAAATCTGCCGCATGCAATGCCAAGGCCACTTTCCTGATAGGTCAGAAACGAACCGGCGAACAAGACAAAGATGTGTCGCTACACTTGGAGAACAGCACTCCGAAATTCAAGTCTTGTTTGCCGAGACGGTTTCCGCCATTGCAGCCCTCCAGGCGTACCTCGAGAAGAAGGCTGTAGTGCTTCCTGGCTTCGCCTGTCATAGCTGTGCGCCGATCTTTGCGCCATGGACCGGGCCGATGTCCCCGACGAATGCCTCTCTGACGCCGAGGCACTTGCCTCCTGGCGCATACCATTTCGGTTCGCCAGGCCTCCTCCGGAATTCCTTGTCGGATGTGTACCCATGTGCTTGGTTGTGGTTGTGCAAGTGGGCACCTGCACGAGCAGCGAGGCGCTGCAGCGTTCTCCTGGGTGGGAAGGCCTGAAACACCTCGTGCCAAGCCGCTGGCTGGTGGGTGCTCCGTGAAAATTTCGATCTTCTTTTTGGCATCCGCACTGAAAGATAAGACTTCTTGGTCGAAGACAGGTTTCGGACGGGAGGCCGCAACCTGCAGTAACCTTTTAGCCTCTGCTGATAATGGTGGTGGAGCTCCCGGGCAGCGGGAATCACGTTCGTCGGCAGATAGAGGCCTAGTGGACAGACCAAGCAGGAGATTTTCGTGATCCTTGAATAGGTCCCAGCGATCATTGCAAAAAGCGCTGACTACAGATCGAAGTTTGAACAGGTCGTGCATCGGGTCCCCCGGTGACTAGCATTCCCACGCTTTCCGGTGAGAATAGCAACAGACGTTTTCTGGCCGCTGGAGCCTTTGGGTGTGGGGACACAAGAAGCAACCTCTGTAGTCGGCCACAGCTCCTCGAATAGACTCGGGAGCTTCTTGTGATGTTTCTGGTAGGAATCAGTGCAGAAGAAGACGGGCTGCGACTGTTGCAGAGAATAAACCGCCGAGGCTAAGACCTCCCGGATGTCCACAAGAATGGGCCGCAGGATGGCCTCGATGTCAGGCCCGGCCTCCGCGCTCAACGGCGCGATCGGTGTAAGCAAGCCCCGGCGCTTTGTGGATGTCTGCACGAAGCATCTGAATCCCAAACCCTACATCTTCAGTCCGAAATCCTGAACCGTACAAGTTCTACAGCCTGAACACTATCCTGAAGCCGACACCCTATAATTCCTGACACCGAAAGCCTATAGGTCCTACAGCCTGAACACTATCAATCCTGAAGCCGACACCCTATAATTCCTCACACCGAAAACCTATAAGTCCTACAGGATAGCCCCTACAAAACCCAAAACCTGAACCCTATAAATCCTAAATCCTAAACGTTCTAAATCCCAACGCCTGACCCTACAAATCCGAACTATAAATCCTAAACCCTACAGCTTCTGCATCCTTAAGCCTAAGCCCTATAATTACATCCTTAACCCTTAACCCTATAAATCCTAAAAGCCTTAGCCTTATAAAACCTAAATCATACGCCCTAAGCCCTACAAACCCTAAAGCCTTAACCCTCGAAACCCTAAATCCTAAACCCAACAAAACCTTGAGCCTAATCGTGTAAATCCTACTAAAGCCTGGAACTTACGAATCCTGAAGCCTAAACCCTATAAATCCTACGGCCTAGACCCTATAAATCCTAAAGCCTCAACCCTATGAAACTTGAAGCCTAAACCCTAAATCCCACAGCCTAAACCCTATAAATCCTGAACCCTAAACCCCATAATTCTATAAATCCTAAAACCCTGAACCTTACAAATCCTACATCCGAAGCCCTCCTGTAAGGTAAGGGGTTCGGGCTCAGACTTCGGGGCAGACGCCTTGCCTGAGCAATTTGTGCGTGAAGGTTCGAGTGGGTTGAAGGCTTCGGGGGTTGTGGCGTTGATGGTGTAAGGTTTAGGGTTTAGGGTTTAGGGGTTAGGGGTTGTGGCGTTTTTGGGGTATGGGTTTTTGGTTTCGGGCTGTAGGATTGTAGGGCTTAGGATTTAGGGTTTAAGGTTAGGGCGTTTGGCTGTTGTGTTTTGGTGCTTAAGGTTGAGGGCCCTACAACCTAAACCCAATTCTTGGCTACGTCCCCAAAGCCCTAAGCCCTCAACCCTCAAACCCCACACCTCCATCTGCAAGCTGAGACACACGGGGCACTTGGCTTCTGCGCCTAAGCCCTCCAGCAAGTTCTTCTGCTGGGCCTCGGTTGTTGATGGTCTTCTTACAAATCAAAGGCCAGCTTTTCCAAGTTTTGGTGGGAGTGTATAACGCTAAACCCCTAAACCCTAAACTAAACCCCCCAAACCCCTAAACCCCTCAAACCCGTAAACCCTAGACGGACACAGGGCACCAACCCAGCCTCTACGTCATCTGCTTGTGGGTTTAGGGTTTAGTTTGGGGCTTTAGGGAAGAGGCCTAGCCCCCGGGTTATCTAGGAGCTCAGGTATGCTAGGTTTAGGGTTTAGGGTTTAGGGTTTAGGGTTTAGGCTTTAGGCTAGCACTTACCAAGTCGTTCAAGTTGTGCTAGGGTCGGGAGGGTGGCTTAATGTAGGACTTTCTGGCTTGACAAGTGTTCGTGGAGGTCACGTATGTTCTGCTTTGCATTTGGCGATCTAAAGACGTCTAGAAGACGTAAAACTGGATTTCGAAGCATATTGAACTGATCACCAACCACATCATCATCATCCTCATCATCATCATCATGATCATCATCATCATCATCATCATCGTCATCGTCATCGTCATCATCATCATCAGTATAATTATCATCATCGTCGCCCTCAGCATTTTAAATCCGAGCAAGAATGCCTGATCCTGACAAGATCCCGGCCTGCGAAAAGAAAGTCCCTGAAACCCCAACCCCCGTACTCAGATCCCCAGGCTTCAGGTAACTGAACTTACCAGGCTTACCACAGTAATGTAGGCCTCCTACTTCCCAGGGGTATATACCTGTCTTGGTAGCTTCAAGCCCTAAACCCCCCAAACCCCTAAACCCCAAACCCTAAACCCTCAACCCTAAACCCCAAACCCTAAACCCTCAACTCGAAACCAAAAAAACCCTAGACCCTAGACCCTCAACTCGAAACCAAAAAAAAGCCTAAACCCTAAACCCTCAACTCCAAAACTAAGAAATGCGGGGCCTCGTCCATGTGGAGGAGCGCATGCTCACCCAAGCAATCCGCAAGGCGCTCGCGCATGTCCTCACTCATCAGCGGAATCCTGGGCCACGAAGTCAGGGTTCTAGGGTTTAGGGTTTAGGGTTTAGGGTTTAGGGTTTGGGTCGAGGAATAGACCTGAAGTTGAAGTAGGGATCCGAAAAAGGCGTAGAAACATTCCAAAATCCAGGGCTGACGGGCTTGTTGGCCGTAAAGCACCCCTTTCAGTGTAAACGAGGGTTTAGGCTTTAGGGTTTAGGGTTTAGGCTTTAGGGTTTAGGGTTTAGGGTTTAGGGTTTCGGGCTTAGGGTTTAGGGTTTAGGGTTTAGGGTTTAGGGTCTAGGATTCAGGTTTAGGGTTTGGCGCTTCGTGCTAGGGCTAAGGGGCGTAGGGAAGGGTCGAGGGTCCCTGGCGCCGCCCGCGTTGCCCATGCAGCGAACATACACTCTGAGCCCGAAACCCTACAACACCCCGCACGCGTACAACAGCCGTAAACAAGTAGGCTCTACACTATAAGCTTCCTAAACCCTAAACCCTAAACCATAACGAAACTCTGAAACAATCATGTGTTGACTATCTCGGGGACTTGTGTTAAGATAGAAATGACAAAAATTGCCAAAGAACAACCGGTGTAATGTCTTCAATCACCGAGGCCCCTATGCTACCTGTAGCAACCCTTATCCAGCCCCTTTAAAGAACCCCTAAACCCTAAACCCTAAACCCTAAACCCCAAACCCTAAACCCCAAACCCTAAACCCTAAAACCCAAACCCCAAACCCCAAACCCAAACCCCTAAAACCCCAAACCCTAAACCCTAAAACCCAAACCCCAAACCCTAAAACCCAAACCCCAAACCCTAAACCCCTAAAACCCCAAACGCTAAACCCTAAACCCTCAACCCTAAACCCTAAACCCTAAACCCTAAACCCTAAACCCTAAACCCCTAAACCCCCCAACCCGAAGGCTTCGGAGCCGAACTGGCGATCCGAGCTTCAGCCGCTGGAACGGCACGGAGAGGCACTCCTGGGAGGGTTTAGGGGTTAGGGTTTTAGGTTTTAGGGTTTTAGGTTTAGGGTTTAGGGGTTTAGGGTTTAGGGTTCAGGGTTTTTAGGGTTTTTGGGGTTTTAGGCTTCAGGGTTAAGGGTTTAGGGTTTAGGATTCAGGGTTTAGGGTTTAGTGGGGTCTAGGGGGCAATTGGGCCCTACCGTTTTAGGGTTCCTTAATTGTGGCTTCGATATATAGCTCCTTAAAAAAAATCGGTCTTTTGGGCCACAGGTGAACCCTAGACCCGAATCCTAAATACAGGTTTGTGGCTGCACCCTTTTTTCCAAAGCGGAACTTTTAAGCGTGACTAAACCCCTAAACCTAAACCCTAAACCCTAAACCCTAAACCCTAAACCCTAAACCCTAAACCCCTTCACTGAGAGTTAGTTTAGCCAGGAGGGCCCTGGAGCGCTGTGGGATTTGGCGATTATAAGGTCCAGGATGTAGCCTTTAGTGTAGGGGCCTTAAGAATTAGACTAGGGTTTAGGGTTTAGGGTTTAGGGTTTAGGGGTTAAGGTTTAGGGTTTAGGGGTTAAGAATTAGAATAGGGTTTTGGGCTCCTTTTGGTCTATTTATCATAAGGAACCCCAACAACAATATTGGAAAAAAAACCCTTAACCCTAAACCCTAAACCCTAAACCTCGGCCTCTATATTAATCACAGTTTAGGGGTGTCAGGTTTGCTCAGGATGAAGTGGGATGTGGTGACCAGGCTCAGAGTAGAGCTGACCTTGGCAATGGGGTTTGTTTAGGGTTTGGGGTTTAGGGTTTAGGGTTTAGGGTTTAGAGTTTATGGGGGGTTATCCCAACTCTGCTTGTAACCTGATTACCACGTCCCCTCATCCTAAGAAGGGCTGAAGGCTTCAGGGATATCAGGGGTAGGATGTGGGCTCCAACAGACATTTGCATGAACGGTACCGCGCCCAATTACCCTAAACATCCTTTAATATCCTCCGAATGAAGGAGATTAGGCGAAGTTGAAACTCTTCTTTAAACAAAATGACAAAAAAATTGCGGTACTCTCTTCATACAAAACCCAAATATGGAACATAGAGGGACCCTAGGAAATACTGCTGATGATATAAATCCTGCAGTACCTTAAGGACCCTAGACTATGGGAGCTATGGTACATTATGGCATATTCCTTACTATGGCTAATTCAGGATGTGCAACCCAGGAGACCGAACAGGGCTTTTGCCAGGCTTGGTGATTGCAGGCTCGGAGGGGGGCCAATCAGCAGAGCATGGGGTAGCCCGCAGGTCAGAGTGACAAAGAAGGTCCTCGGCTATGTCAGAGAGCTGGACCCATGCAGTATCAACATCACCTGAGTCCAAGGCCCACTGGAAGGGGCCCTGATCCCAAGTGGCGAAGACTGCAGCAAGTTCAGTGGTATCCAAATCCGTGCGGAGAGAACGTCGCCTGGGGCCACGCCGCAGGAGAGGTGCTTCAAAGTTGTAGTCGTAAGAAACCACGACGTGGTCGCTTGGCCCCTCAAGGTGCTGGACCCCACAAGCATGAAGTTGAGGATGCTGTAAAGCATAATCGATGCGCCGGCGGCGCCGGCCTTGAAAGACCGGCCCTGTAGCAGGTAAGTCTTCACCGGGGCGGCAGGCGTCGCCAGCAACGAGCACCCCATATCATCAGCGGCATGTAGGTTTTGGTAGGCTTCCGGTTCCGGGTTTTCGGCTTGGGATTCGAACCCCAGGCCCTGCAGAATTCGAGTCTTCGGACATCTTGAATCCTACCTCAGTGTTCCAGTTCAGCGGCTGTAAGGTGATACCGGTACCTAAACCCCTATGAACCCCAAGCATCACTCAACCCTGTAAAGATAGGGTTCAGGAGGCCTTTTTCGGCTTGGAGCTTGGGGGTACGAGTCCCTCAAACCAGGCCCCCAAACAGCATAAAAGGGTTTGGGTAACCCTAAACCCCAAACTCTCAACCCTAAACCCTAAACCCTCTAACGACATCAGTTTATAAAATAGACTTCTAGGGGCAATGATACTAGCTACCAAAGACCTACAGCCGCTCCCTCATCCTCTAGAGATACACCCTGATCCATCATGTAGGTGCCTTCATATTTAGAATAGGGTTTTGCGTGGGTCCTTGTTTCAACTATGCTAGGATATACCCCCAATCCCTACTCTAATTACTAACCCCTACATGATGCACCAAGCCCGCAGTCAGTTCACTTTGACACACAAGCCCCAAAACCCCAGATCATCCTTAACTCGAGCGTAAACTCAGAGCCATCAATCGTCACCTCAACCCCCAAGCACCTTCAGAGCTACAACCTTAAACTTGAACCC